ATATATATATATATATATATATATATATATGAATGCCGCAGCAGACATTGTGGCACTGTCTTTGCCTTAACAACCATCAAGTCCAAGTTAAATTGGAAAGTAGTTGACAGGACTTGCTTGAGTTCCTGAGAGACTTTTCTTCTCTTATTTAAGAGGCTTTTAGTTCCAAGTGACTGATGTTAAAGTCCAAGAATATAGTCTTCAGCTCTTTTTCTCTGACAATGAAGTTGTTTTGCAATGCAGAAACTGAACCCCTGACCTAGTTTAAGGATGTTGGATTTCAGAAATTGTACTGTTACTGTGCTTTTTGAATCAGTTACACTCAAATGGGCACAATGACGATGGTAAGAAGAGTGTCTGCTATTTTTGTTTTGATTATTATTAGTTTGTAACAAGTAAATAGTTTTTTGTATTGCAAAGTACCTTTGAAGTAGCTCTCAGATTCAAAAAGATTGGTGACCCCTGATGACATTTTGTCATTAGCTAAAAAATAAGGCATTCAAATGTTTTCAATTATTGGTTGGCGAGTCCAAAACCTAATTTCTGTTGTTTTGTAGCAAAAACACTTCTCCTGGGTATCATGTGCACGCACACCATGCCATGTACACTAATGTCCCACAATCCCCCCACCCCACCCCACAGACCTCCTACAAAACAACAGATGTGTGACTTGTTAAAAATCAGAAGGTGCCTCCACTAGAATTGTTTTCTGGTATTTAATTATCTGAGATCGATTTAGATGGGAAGTTAGGATTTAGTTGCAACACACACATGAACACAACACACACTTGCTAGATTGGCATAATTAAATCAACACCCCCCATACCCCTTACCCATTATGTGTGTCTGTTTGGCAAAGCTGCTGTTATAAGAGTAGTACACATCCACCATCCGAAGGGCTATGTTTGAACGTAGAGATAGAAGTGTGACAGGAACACAAAGATGTCAGTGAGACGTTGATGTTGATTAGTGGTCGGTGGGGGTAGGAAAAAATGATGGATGAAGCGGGAGGAAGAGTGAAGGTAAAGGTGGTGGAGGCCTGAAGGGAACGGGGAACTTTAATAATCATCATCTTTACACTGTAGCTCCACCATCCATCTTCAGGGACTCTTCACTAATGATAACGACAGGCTCACGTGTGAGCACACACTGTCAAATTTTAGGCAACTGCTCTATCTCATTGTCCCCCCTCTAGTCCTCTCTCTACAACCCTCCCTCCCTTTAAGTGAAATTTGTTATTTTAAAAAGATTGCCATTGCAAACATAATTAATTTTGGTGTAAATAGAAGTTGTAAGAAATTAGTACACTTTCAAATCCATTCAAAAAAATAAATATTAGTACCATATTTGGCTGTAAATATCATACAATGACCATTCTGTTAAGTTCTTCAATTAGCATGCTAACTGTTTGTGTACCTGTTCCTGTATGTGTGACATAAACACTGTCCTTTGATTTTAAAGCATTGCTTCTCAGTTCAAGATGGCAAAGCATTAGGGCAGTGGTAACCTCGCTTCTCCCCTGAGTTTGTTGCAGAAACATTAACTAACGAAAAAGTGAGAAATGTTGATCTGATACATTTTGTCTGATGAATAAAAATAGTCCTCTGCCTGACCTATTACACGTAGAACACAAACAAGATTAAAAAAAGATTGTTATTAGTATTCACGGTTGGTTAGCTCACAGAGTGGATGTATGTTTAACAGATGGCTTTATGGGTGTGTTGTTAGCATCTATTAGTGTGAACTCATTCTGGCAAATGCAGCCACACTTTTTGATCATCACTACACACATGTATGTTCACGCACAAACACACACACACACACACGTACACACACATGCTATGACTAATCTCAGACAAATTACATACTCTAATACTCATTGGCTCGCCAGCTTGTGACACTCTCCTCTGCTACCTTCACGTTCCAGTGAATTCCTATTTCACCTGGAGAATTAGCTTTTGATTATGCAGCTGATCGTCCCAATTTGACACATGCACATGCAGTAGTGCACGTACACGTGCACTAATTGCTACTCACCAAAATGGTTGCCTCTGATTGCATTTAAAATGCATGACACTGGTTTAGGGTTTGAATGTATGTCTTTATTCATCTTCTCTCTCTCTCTCTCTCTCTCTCTCTCTTTTTCTGGGAGAAACTGAGATGTCATCAGTATATGGTGTGCATGTGATGAATGACTCAACCTAATATTCTTTGTAAATCATCAATATGAATAGAATAACATCTGTGTGTTTAAATTGTGTGGAGGACAAGATAAGAATAGAGGAAGATGACGACGACAGAAAAGAGAAAGTGGTTTGACTGCAGCATCGCCCTGGTGGGTCTAGGAGAGAGGATGGGAGCCGCAGGAAGTGCAGCAGTGGAGCTCACAGATTCCCAATGAAGCCATTTAAAAAGGGGGAGATGGGAAGGGAGATGGGCTGCAGGGAGCAGAATGGAGGTGGGAGGAGACCAGTGAGTGTTTGGAAGGATTAGAAGAATTTCCTGTCAGGCATTCAGAACACGCAATCCCCTGTACATGGCTCCCACAAGGTGCCCTTCACATGTGCACACGTACCCACATTAATACTGGTCAGTGTACATGAGCCTGATGTACTGTATGTGACAAAAATGAAATCCAGCAAAGCTGCTCAATTTATTTTTAGATTTTACCTCTCAGCAGACTTAATTTTCATTTCTTGAAGGATATAAAGACAAATGCAGCTTAAAGACGACAACAGATGGAGACGTAAACTGTCCTCAGAGAAAAGTGTTTCCTCAAGGCCTTATCTTGAAAAAGTAGCAGGCAGAGGTAAATAGCTGACATTTGATCTCACAATTTGTCATGATTTGCTCTTGAATAGTTCCGTGTCCTCTTGGCAAACACAGAAAAAGTGGTCCTATATACAGAACATTTTTAGGTGTTCATGGCTGAAAGGAAAAACAATAAAATAAAGTGCAGCGTAAATATTGAATTTTGTATGAATGACACTTATTTTCTTCCTTCTGTGTTTCTCTACCTTTATGTTCACTAAAATCGTTTGTACATTAAATCAACAGAACAATCAACAGAACAAAAGAGAAGCTGAAGTCACTTTCAGGCCTTGTGTGATCCTAATGCCTCTTCCCTCTCTCTCACCCTCTCTCTCTCTCTTACAGATAACAGTCTTTCGGATGGGGTCAGAAGGCCACCAGGACATTGACCTTGCCATCCTCACTGCATTACTCAAAGGTGGGTGTGGAGCTATTATGTGTGTGTGCTGGAGCATGAGCTCCAAAAACACATTTATTTCTCAGCATCCCTCCAGGCATAATTTTTTTTTTTTAATATATCCTTATATAAAAATAAAAATAACATGGTTTATTTCTTTGGGCCCCAGTTGAGGTGTATGCATGCAACACAAGCATGTGATCATGTTTTGCAACTGGTAACTCAGAAATAAAATAGTTGTCTACGGCGTTCTTATATTTTACAACTGTTGGGCCGTGTCAGTCAAACACATCTTCTATAGTATTTATGTTGCATTTATTCCTTGTAAATTTAGCATTAAATGATTGCTCTAGGCAGATGAGTCAGCCCACGTATATATATATATATATATATATATACATATATATATATTTATATATATATATGTATATATATATATATATATTTTTTTTTTTTTTTGGACCCAAAATTACGGAGCTCCTAAAGTGACATGGGGAAGAAAAAAAAAGAGAAACGTATCTCGTGTATATTTTCTATTTATAAAATAAATCAAAAATTAATAAAATCTAGTCCATATGTTGCTGTATTGCTGTAGCGAATGATTCCCTTACATATGGGACAGTTCACATAGTTAGTATTAAATGAAAGAGGAGGAGACTCGTCTACGCTCTTATATATATATACTGTATATACATATGTATATTCAACCTCAACCATTGTATTACATTACAACCATGCCTCTTGCTCTCTTTGACACAAAAGGTAATATTTAGCTGCAAATGACTTACAATAGTTAGCATCCTCAAATGTCCAGCTAGATGAAGTCTTCACTTTAAGGACAGTATACATTATTTAAACCATACAAATTTCCTTAAGGTGTGTTTTATAAAAACACTGTATATGCACAAATTTTGTTTTATTTAATCATTTCCCTGAGACACTGCACAACTATCATTAAATTATGCAGCCAGTCATGGTGCTGTAATCAACTGAAACAATCAAAACTCTGTTAAGACATTGAAGATTGTCCAAGTGCAGACAAAGCAATAAACCTGAGCCTCTGTTGTTTCTTTATCCTATTTCCCACATCATTGTTTCCCATGCCTTTGCTCCTGCCATAGCCACACACACGACACACATAACATCCCACACACACACGCAAACACTGATCCATACTTTCGATTGGCTGTTCAATAGCTTGTATTGATCAAGGCTGCTCTTATGTCCTTAGTCCCTCCAGAGTTTTTTTCTGCTCTCCTTGCCCTTCTTTTTATAATTGACT